GGGCCGGGCCGGGCCGGGAGGGCCTGCTTGCGCTGCCCTGCAGCGGAGGCTCGGCGCCCTGCCCTGGGGGACCCGCTGGGGCCTGCGGGCTGCGGGGTCCGATCCTCCCGGCCGCCTCGGTCCGCACCGGCCAAGCGCAGCCGCTCCTGGGCCGGGGGTTCGGCCGGCCGCCCCTCTTCCTGTTACCCAGCTGGGCAACCAGTCACTTCTTGCTCCTGGACGTCACCTGGGACATCCGCGAGTTAGGGGAGAGCGCGGTTCCTGCTGGACCTGTGTTCCGGACCACAGCCGAGGCCACTCTGAAACCTCTTCCGTTTAGGGGCCCTGAGCCTCTGACCCCTGTCGGCCGCGGGTGGGGGTTCTCCTTCCTCACGGCACCTCTCGCCGGCAGGAAGGGGGCACCCAGGCGGGTCAGAGCTGCCAGGACGCGAGCTTGGGGTGAACTTGACATCCAGCAGAGTGTGGAGATGGGGCTTACTAAGAAATCACAACTACGGAGGGTCATTGGCTTTCAGGTGAACTGCTGATGTTTTTAAAAACAGCCAGGGCGGATAAGTCTCACAACTGTTCCTGGAGTTGGGGAAGACGGGGTGCCCTCTGACGGCACCCGTGTCAGAGCATTCGGACTGCCCCCCCGGGTGCAGGTGTTCCGAGAGCTCCGTGAATGTGGGCTTCTGAGATTCTCCGCTGCACTTGACTCACAGAGTCTCTCTCTAACCCACCCCCTTCCCCTGGGGCCCTGCAGAGGCCCTTTTATTGTCTCTCTGCCCAGACGCAGCCCGACCACCCAGTCCAGGCACTGCCAGGTCTAAAACCTCAGTCGTCACAGACTCACTCACCTTCCCTCCCCGGGGCACTTGCCCAGGGCACCAAGGTCAAGGCCAAAGTGGTCAGCCTGGCACCTGATGTTCTCCCCGCTCCACACCTGGGGCAGCCCTGGGGGACCTCCTCACCAGGAAACCAGCCTCAGTCCCAGGGCCTGGAGAACCGTCTCCCCACCTGTATTTGGCCAGGCACCAGAACCTTCCTCCAAGCCGCCTGCCGCCCCTGCCCAGGGTCCTCACCTCCCCCTGATAAGTCTCGGCCCGCCTCCACGGCCCCCTCTCACTTCCTGGCGTGACGGCCTCACGTGGTGGCCCGTTTGTTTCGCAGCCTGGAAAACCTTCCGTGCCACCTGAGAAGTACGACCCCCCTGCTGTCGCGGTGGACTGTCTGTCCACGCCTGGCGGGTCTGGCTGCTTGATGATGCAGTGAAGTTCTTCTGTCTCCTTGCTGGCCTTCGCTCGACTTGCTTGAGCGCCGTGGACGGTGGGGCGACGCCGTCCGCGACCTCTGTGGGACAACTGTCTGTCTCTCCTTCTTTCCACGGGTCTCTTCGCTGTGTGTGGGAGCTCTGCGGCTGCGTCCTCCTGACGGGTCGGGTATCGAGCGTCCCTCTGTGTCGTTAATCGCACCCTCGTGTTACAGTCCGTTCTGTCTGACGTTCGCACGAGCCTCTCACCTCTGCCGGCCTGTATCAGACGCTGTGTTGTACTGCGTTCGTCCATTTGTGCCTTTGACCCCTAAGGGCTCTCCGTCTCCAGCTGGAAGGCGGATGGTGGGGTTTCTGTTTGTTTCACTCGACAATCTCTGCCCTTTGACTGGATCGTCTGGTCGATCCACATTAATGTTCCTATCGATGCGGTCGGCTCTCCGTCTACGGTGCTGTTTTCTGCTTTTCTCGTGCCTCCCTTCTTCTCTTCCCTTCTGTTCTTTTTTCAAAACGCCGGCCGACTCTTCCCTAATGCGGCATCTCAGTCACAATCCGCTCCACGAGATGCTCGCTTGCTTCTGGCGCTGGTGTGAACCTCAGTCCCAGGTACGCTCACTCCCTTTTCCCGAGTTTACGAGATCATGTGACACCCGGTCCTGGCAACACTCCGATAATTATCGCTCTCCCGTCTCCTTAGGCCACACGGCTCTGCCCTACCTGCTTCCTCTGGTTGTTATCGCACACGTATTACACGTCTATCGCATTTGAATTAATCATAGGCCCAATGTCATGTCACAGACACACTGGTTTATACAACTGCTTTCTGAATTGGTTACAGAAGGAGGGAGAAATGCGGTACATTTGTCTTTACCGGCGATCTGGCTTTTCGGGCGGACTCAGCCTCGGTCTGGGGCGCTTGACTTCAGCCTGAAGCGCGTCCTGCTCTATTTTGCGAGCTGGGTGGGTCCTGTGGGCGGCGAATTCTGTCTCGTTGTTGCCGTGCTGTTTTAACCTGGGAAAGTCTTCATCCCCTTCATCTTCGGAAGATGGTTTTGCTGACGATCGTGCTGTTGCCTGACAGGCGTTTTGCACACGCGGCCCACGGCCTCCGGGCCTGCGCAGGCCCTGCCGAGAAGTCACCGTCAGTCCCTCGTAAGGGGCGCATTTTTCCCTCGCAACTTTCAGGATTTTCTCCTTGTCTTTGGCTTTCGGCGTTCTCCTTTTCGGCCACGTGTGGGTCTGAGTCTGCACTTATCCCAATCCAGCTTCCCGGGCACCTACGTCACTATTCGGTGGTAGGTTGGTGACATCGGCCCACACTTCCCTCTTTCCTTCTGCCCTCTGTCTCCCGCCGTGCACTTGGTGCCGTGAACCCCTTCCTCTACGCCCCCTGCGTTTTCTTCCCTGCGTTTCCGCCTCCTCGGCTGCAATCTCCACTGGTCTGTCTTCAAGCCAAGGAATTCTTTCTTCTGCCCGTCCCGGTCTTCTGTCATCCACTCTCGTGTACCTTTCCCTTCAGTGCTGGTGCCTTTCAACTCCAGAACCTCCATTTGGCTCTTTGCTATGGGTTCTCCCTCTTCCTCCACAGTCTCCTTCACGTGACGTCCCTTCGCCTCTCGAGTGCAGCTGCCTTGAGTTCCGCGGTACTTGGGGTTCTGCGGTGGGTACTCTGCAGTACTTTTCCGTGAAGTCTGGCACCTGCCGGCTCCCCCAGGCGGCCTCTCTGCCCGCCTGCTTTCCGACGCGTGTGGGTGCCTTCCTGCGTCTCAAGCGCCTCATAATTGTTTACTGGAAACTGGACATTTTAGATAATGTATCGTAGCAACATGGGGTTCTGCCCCCCCATCGGGGGCCCGTTCCTGTCCTTCGCTTGCTTATCTGTCCAGTGACTGGATCGTCTAGTGACGTCTCCTGCCCTCCCGGGGTGTCCAGCCCCTGACGCTGCTCCCAAGGGCCAGAGTGGGGGTGTCTGCGCCCTGCTTCTCCTGCAGGGAAAGCCCTCCGGCGGGGGGCGGGCGCAGGGGCCCCGTGTGCCGGGCTGCAGCCTCCGGAGCGCGTCTCTGTCCTCACGAAGCCGAGGGTGGGGGCGGTCCTGGTTCAGAGCCCGATGCCTCGCGCCTTTCCTAATGAATTTTCCCAGATTTTCTCGGGTAGATGTTTCATGTGCTGCTTGCCTTCAGGACCGCGTCCACAGGCTTCAAGTGGTGGTTCTGTGTGAAAGCGTGTCCTCCGGTTCCACCTGGAGAGGCTCGGCGGCTGCCTGCAGCTCTCCTGGTGGCATCCCTGCATCGGCCCGGTCTGTGTCCCCGCTGCCCCCCGGGGGCGCGGCCGTGAGGGTCTTCGCCTCCGTGAGGCTGTGAGACGGTGCCGCTCGCGTCACTGATGCCTCCCGCTGGTCACTCAACACGTTGGACCCTTTATTCCGGGGCGGTACGGTCACGGGTTGAACCACGTCCCCCGAGAAGATGGGTCAGAGCCCTAGCTCCTGGTCTGTGCCCACGGGGTCTTATTCGGAAAGAGGGTCTTTGCAGACGCGATTGGCTCCGAGGAGGCCAGCAGGTGTGCCCTAACCCAGTGCGTCCGGGGTCCTTGTCAGAAGGGGTCACGTGGCGGCGTCACCACGCGGTGACGGAGGGCAGGGACCGGAGTGCCAGGTGCCGCCAGCACGTGGGGCTGGGCAGAGATGGGGAGGGCCCCCACGGGTTGGCGAGGGCCACAGCCCAGTGGTGCTTCGACTCGGAACTTCTGGAGGGTTGGCAGCTGTGTCAGCAGAGGTGACTATCCGGCATCCCCAGGGGTGGACACGGACGCTGCGCGGTTTCGTCTCCTTCCGGGATGTCCCCCACATCCTGTCCCGCGGCCCCCGTCCCCCGGATGCCACCCAGCTCTCCCTAGAAGACGTGTCGCGGGAGCGTGGCCGCCAGCCACGGCCACCAGCACTCCCCTGTCACACAGCCTCTGCCTCGGGGCCTGGCCCACGGTCTCTGAGGGGTCATGGGACCCCCCTCCCCAACTCCCCGCAGGCTTCCTGCACCTGCCGGAAGGAGGCGTCTCTTCCTCTGGGGTTTGTGGGGCCAGCCCGTGGCTCCTCCTGGAGAAACTCCGCCACCCAAGGCCGACGTGGAGGGAAGCAGATCTGGAGGCGGGTTTGCGAGCGGTTCAAGCGTCTGGATCCGGCCGGGCCCGCGGGCCTGTGAGCGTGTCGCCGGGCTGAGGACACGACTCCCCTCCTGCTCAGGCCGGTCTGACTGGTGCTGCCACGGCTACGGGAGCCACGCGGCGTACAAGACACAGCAAGTGTACGTGGCCAGACACGATCTTCTCCTCCTGCGTGCGGACGGGGACGGCCCAGCTGCGGAGGCAGATGAGAACCAAGCGATGCCCCGAAGAGGCAGGAAGAAGGAGGCGCTGGGCCGCGTGGTCTGCCGGAGCCCACGGAGGACGCTGCCTCGCTCTGCACCTGGAATACTCTTGGGAAACACAAACTGGGCCGCGCCGGCGGTCCACGGCGTGTGCCCGTCGGGCGGCGCAGGTTGTTGAAATACCGCGGGGGCTCCTGTGCCGGCCCGGACGAGCGGCCCCCCGGGCCCCCCGCGCCCGTGCTCCCCGCCCGGCCAGCCCTGGGCGGCCACAGGCTCCCGGAGACGTCACGCTCCCGTTAACTGACCTTAGTTTCTAGCGCGCGAGAGGCACCTGCAAACGGGGGGCCTCAGCCTTATCGGCCCCACGTGCCCCGGGCTGAGAGGGTCCTTCTGGCCACGTCCAGGGAGGAGAGACCACTTCCTCACCCTGCGGCCTTGGCTCTTGTCACCCTCCCGCCTTTTGTTTCTGACAATACTTGGGTTTGCACCTGTGAGGTCACAATGTCTTCTAATGGCAGCATTGAAACGCGTCCCTTAAGCTAGCCGGCTTCCTGGATCTGTTCAATTAAGCGGCAACGAAACGGGAGTGTTTTTATCCCCGGTCTTAGACAGGGATGCCGATCGTCTTCATCCCCTTGTTCGATTCTCTGTGACCTCCCTGTTAGGCCCGGTGCCGTGCCGCTGGGGGGGGCGGGCTCTGCAGGACTGCCC